ATTAATAATTTTAGCAAAAAGTCTATATGGATCGGGCGTATTCTACCCGCGCTCAAATGTATATATGACCAACACGCGTAATAAGTGCGTGAATTTCGTTCAATTTTCTAATTTTACATTATTTTTTACTAAAACATTTATGGCATACTTCTTTTATTTTAATCACCGATCGCAAGAATTTTTATTGTAATTATTATTGTTATTACTTTTTGTCCTCCTACGTTATGGAAACTGATAATAATGAAATTAGTTATTTTAAACACGTAGGTATATGAACCATATTAAAMGCAGTTCAATTTTTTTCAAATTAATGTTTTAATGTTTGCCAGAATTTAAAGTATGATAGTGGTTATTCATTGATTGTTATATTAAAAATAGAATAAGGCGTCTTCCTGCACTTTTTACTTAATTATATTTTATTAGGGTAATAGTAATTTACCTGTTATGCATAAACCTGTGTCCTGTACTGTTGACAACAAAATATTCTGTTTAAATTTTATTCACCGCGCTCAGGTGCTCTGTATGTACATTTGAATTATTATTGTTATTATTTGTATCAAGTATTAATCTGCTAATTGTGCAAAATAATGTATTATACACATCCATACATATACATATATATTATATATACATATTAGTTTCTAATATTTTCAGTTTTAAATTATCTAAGTCAGTTTAATAGATATTTTATTATGTCGACAATATCGTCTAAGTTCATGAGCAATATATAATAATATACCACATATAATATAAATTATGTAGGTATTATAGCCGTATAGGTATTATAGATACCTATTATATATTATTACTTTAAGATTTCTATTGTCGTTTTATGTTGCCTATTGTTTGGATTATAATGTATTTCAATACTGTACTTTTTTTCTAATTCTCATAATTTAATTCATTATAAAATGGACTCGGTATTATAGTTACAAAAAATAAATTACAAACTTAAATATATATAGAATGATATAATTTTATGAAATACACACGTTTTAATAACAGTATTAAATATTGTATATAGTTATGTACTCAGATAATGAAAAGTTGTAATTTTATCGCCCTATATATAGTTTCAAAATATTTGTGTGTGTTATCCGTGAAAGTTTTTTATTCAAGTAGATAACAAAAAATAATTATTTACTTACGGGTATCCATTAACCTCGAAGTGTAATATCTTATTTATGAACAGTGTATATAATATTATGTATATTATTATATCGGTGTATTGGCGAATGACGTTATATAGCATAATTTGTTGAATCGATTACATTAGTTTCATTCTTTTCAGTATTCTTTTTTTTTTTTTTATGAAGTAATTAATAAATGTGTATGATGAGTATATTAGGTGTATATTTATTATTTTCTTATACATTTAAGAAGTCTAACGAAATCTCGTTTCATTTAATTTTTTTTAAATCAAATTTCTATCTTATTTATTTATTATTATTATTTTTTTTTATGAATAATGTAACACTCATGAGGGATAATAAATGTAATAATACTTTATAAACTTAACTTTATTATTAGTCTTTAAAATTTGAAAATATCCCTCAATTTTAATTTATGCGCATTTACAGTAATTTTGAAGTTAAATTATCAAGGGAATATAGATAGGCAAGAAAAGATGATTAATGATGTACCTACTTAACGATGTTGATAACTATTGTTTAAATTAATTTATAGGTACGCTATACTACATACTACATATTATATTATTATTATATGATTTCTCAAAGCTCCCAATCCCCTAAAATATTAAATAATCCTAACTATTTTAATTCTTAATTTTATATTATTCTTTGAAGTTAATGAGTACACTATTTGTATAAATATAAAGAATAGATGATACAAATATTTATTATAATATATAGCTTCAAAAAAATGCGCGAGGCCATTTATCGTAGTATTTCCTGAATACGTCATTGGGCACTGGTATATTAGTATTAAATTAATACATATAACCTATATACATATACCTATATATAGGTGTCAACTAACTTTCGGGCCTGTACCTATATCAAATATAGCGCATAAACATACGTTAATTTTTTCTTTATTATAAATTCTTGCATGAAATTAATTCAAAAAAATCCGTATCACCGTTCTTATTATTTAAAATTATAATTCTTGAATACCATCATCAGCCATTCAGTAGTAAAACATTTTCTTTTATTAAATCCTTTCTTCGAGCACAATTTGGACTTTGTGTATTTAAAACTTATAGTTGTTGTGTGAATTTACTATCGTTTTAATTTATATGCAATAAAATTTTTGAATTGAAATTTCGATATCTCAATACCATTAAATGTCAAGACTAATTTTTTTATAAATATTATATATACTAAAAAGGTAATGTTTAAAACTCTGGATAAGAATAATATAGTTGCGAAAATTGTGTATAACATTTATTATTTTTTTCATAAAAAAAATTGAGTAATAATAATAATTTTTGCGCATAATATTATTTGGTAGTACTGTAATGCACGATTTATATAGCGTTCAACCAAACAGACTATATTTTTGTTTTATTTGGCAAACAATCGGATCAAACTTTCGAAACATTTATTACCGTTATAGGAACTCGTAATTTGTCTACAACTCTCTCGGCTCAAGTTGAAATTTAACTATATAGTATTTATTATTTGACGGTTTTCTATATATCAGTGTCATATTATATTATTATATAGGATTATTCGTTTATTATTAAGGGCTGTTCTTACAATTTCCGGTTAAGTGTCCGTTAACTTTAACTGAATATTGTAAGAACGGCCATAAGTATGATGACGAATCCCGCGTTCCACGATAGTAATAATTTGTACGCTTATTATTAAAATATTGTTTTAAAAATTGTTATAATATGTAAAATAAACGTATATCGCAATGTTATTTTCTACCATATGAATTATATTATAACCTTATATTCAGTATATACGTTATAACTTATGCTAAATAATATGTTATAGTATTGATATTAAAAAAATAGTACTTATAATCATGCGGTTATAGGTATAATGCTGTAAATCGCAACTTTTTTTTTTTAACGTTTATTTAAATATACACAATCTGTAAATGTTGTTTTACAATAAGTGCATGTGATGGAGGTGATATGGCTTTTGAGAGGCTGGAAATAAGAAACCGCCCATTGGAGGCACTTAAGGTTGGGGAAATCGCAACTAAAAATTCATTTTTAACTTACATTTTTGGAAATCGCAAATAGTATAATAGTTATTAYAACAGTAATCATTATTATTTATTATATATTTTCCCACTATAAACATACAATATTTTCATCTTAATATATTTATTATAATTATTATAATAAATATTTTGTTATGTTTGCAAAAAACATAAATTATATCATTTTGTAATTTAGAGGAAAGCTTTGTGTTATTGTGAAAGTGTATACTTTAATATGTCGGAATAATATTCGTAGTTTTATGTTCAGTGTTTTTACCTTTAAAGTAAAAGTTTACCCCTCGAGAATTGGCTGGGAACAGTTGTTAAATGATCTATATAGTATACCTCGTGCAGCACTTGAAAATTCTGCGTGAATATTTTATTACATTTTAAATAAAAGGAGCTTGAAAAATTCGCTTCACTTTAAATTTTATTTCATAAACCTAATTATATAATATTGTATAATGTAGCACTGTAGCCTCAGTGTTATAATATTTAGTGTATTGTTAGCCGGATAAAATTTCATCTTATTGTATTTGAAGTAGTTAAGGTTGTAAGGCTGCAATAAAGTTGGGGTAGGTAAACACATGTGACATTTTAATTCGTATTTATTGCCGTTAAGTGCGTAATATTAATTATAAGTGAGCCTTTAATTTATATTTTTACCAAACGGATATTAAACGACACTAATAACGGTTATATTTGCGTACCAATATTATATATGCATATATATTATATGCCTTCTTTTTCAATAAATTGTTCTTGTAAATTTAGACATGCGAACCGTGAAACTATATATACGTCAAATAATAAAACAAATAATTTAGCCGTAGTACCGTCGATGCGCTATCGTTTTTCACGCACTAAATTTATAAAAATACCTTTTGATTATTAAAATCATGTAAATGCGTTTCGAGCGGATAACGTTTATAAGCGAATTAAAATTTAACGAGCATGAAAATGTGTTTATTCCGTTACTGCAGCTATAGAATTATAACCATATGATATAATATGATGATATATTATTTAATAGCTTCTCGTTTTATTCTATTATAAGTGATAACAGTGTATAGAAAATATTATTCAATACACTAATCGAAACAGAAGGGGGAGGATCTTACATCGTTTCTCTGTGCATATGAATATATAAATATATATACCTGCGCAGCTGGATCGAACGATTGTATTAAAATCGGTGAAAATTCTAATAAATATAATGGCTGCATAGCCTGGTATTCGCACGCATTACCAGATATCCGTGTACCAGCAGCTATAGCTACGCGTATATATTGTTATATAGGATAGGATACGTATGTATAGGTAGGTCGTATAAAAAAACGCATCCCAAAATTGCTCTGTATTCTCTAATTTTATTTTATACGATCGGATATCCTTTCTTGTACAGTTTTATATATCTGTGTATGCGATATAATAATAATATATGTTGCGCAAGCGAATTTGTGTATTTATAATATAGCATCGCAGTATATATACGTAAATTGAGCTTTTGTGTTTGTATATATTATATTATAGTACAGTATACATTATTGCAAACATTCCGGATTCGCTGCACAGGTGTCCAATCTACTACCTGTAATAATGTAGGTCCTGCTGCATTACAATAAAGCATATATATTTATATATATATTATGTATTGATGTACTTCACCCGTTTCAAAATCTCTTTGACCACATATATTCATTTCGATCTACTGAACATTTTCATTATTATACTTTATTTTTCTCGGTTATGTACTACACATAATTTCACCTTGTGCAGTTCGTTGCGCATTATTAATGTCCTATGGTTTTTGTTCACAGAACTCGGGCGTGGAGATGACCTGGGTAATCGCGGATTTCACGGCCACGGCCGCCGGCCAGGTGACCGTCGCCAAAGGTCAGCAGGTTGAGCTCTTGGACTGCTGTGGTGGTACGAGTGAAATGGTTTTAGTGCGGGTACCATCCGATTGTACCGAAGGACTGGTGCCACATATTGTACTCAAACAACCGCCGTCACTCAAGTCACCGCAAACCACAGGTAAGGAAAACACCGTTCATAAGATAATATGTATTAGTTTATACATGACGTGATTAGGAATAAGTTCGTGATAAAGTACGGAGGAGGCTAAATAATTATCCCGAAGTGTTATCTCAATGATACATTGATACTTGTATCGTTTATTAGTTAATTTATAGAAAAAGTAGTTTTGTACTTTCGATATTCTAAAGCAGTTGTATACCTACAATAATTTAAATGTTCATGCTTAATAAATTTTTATACGCACGAGTATAACAAGTTAATTTGAATTTATATCACTGCTGGTCCCGTGTACTTTTTATAACCATTTGTTATATTATACGTGATGAATTACCCACTGTTGCATTTATTGCTATTTATTGAAGTGCATTTTGATACACACAATTTTTTTGTTTTTCTTCTGTAAATAAATCAGAAGGTTTTCTGGTGCGCGTGAACATGGGAACATGGGAGCTATCCATGTGAGAAGTAAAAATTTTCCAAATTCAGTCCACACACTTATGTAGCAATTGTCCTTGTTCTTTGTTGATGGTCATTACAAATGCGAATCGCACCAGAAACTGCAAAGTTTGAATTCGAATGGCGTATTTGTGGAAATCATTGGGATGCGTAGTAACAGAACTATACATATTCGCCTTTAAATTTTCCGTTTAAAATTGTAATTTTGTTAATGTTGATCATCAACTTTTTCATTGAAAATCTGGTGTCATTGCAGTCGTGCCACGACTGTCGTGGTTGATTGATGTTTCGTAGTAGAATGATTGGCATGCCAAGCAAATCAAGTGACTTTAAAAATTCAGTTGGATTAATGACAACATCGTCTTGATTCATTAAACTATTTTAGTATCGATGGACTTCTACATTGCCGTGTTGCATGGAATTTCGATTTGAATGCTGATATGATATAAGAGACATTTTTATTTATGGCCACTGATAATTTCCGTAATTTTGTACTATATTTTGGAAAACTTTGTCAATTAACTCGTTGGTTGTTCCTGCGATGTGTCAATTATTTTATATTCGGTAATATTGATTTAAAAAGATTTAAATTAAATTTGTAAATTTTAACTTTCAAGTCATTATAATACTTAGGGTACAATATAATATCATAATTTATCTTCCATAAATAAAAATATCAACTTGTTTTTTAGGTATTTTTGTGAATCTAATATTGACACATTAAATGCATATCTGCATATATCATTGGGATTTTTTTTTGTCCTTTGATGAATAATTGTTCTTGTAATAGCATGATGGCATTATAAATAATCAACCTAGTATAGCCAGTGTGGCAGTGTTGTACAAAAAAGGAAACTGGCTTACAAAGTGTCTACAATGAAATGTCGACATAGCGCGTCCCTTATACCTTTTATTTCACCGATTTCATTATTTTTATTTGTATAAATACCTGAAGCCTGAAAAGAGTCAATAATTATTTATAATGATTTATTGCTTATATTTTGTGATTTGATTTTTACCTTTTTTTTTACCCAAACTGCGAGAAAGATCAAATTTAACTATGAAAGTTCAAAGTTTGTATATTTTATTAATTTTTTTTTTTAATCTTGTACGTTCATTAATTCAATATATTATATCTTTTGACATAAAAAATATTTATTATTAGACAGTTATAAAAATAAACTGTTCCCACGTTTTGACTTTCGCTAAATTGTAAGTAAACTTATTTAAAAAAAACACACTTTCATAGTGTTATGTTATATTATATCTTGCCAAGTTTTTAATTCAGATTCTTTAACAAATACGGTTGAATTTTTTATGATTTTAGTTTATTATCTATAATGACTAATTTGATTGTATTTTGAGGTATTCGACTATCTTGTTTATTGTAATAAAGTTAAACATTACCACTGCGGCGTCGTTATATTGTGTTGAGACTTTAAAACCAGATTATACATCGAACGGAATTTTTCAATGTCGTTTACCTAATAATTTATATTTTTAAACAGTGTATGTGAATTACAATCCCAAACCTTTCCAATTATAACCACACATGAGAACTGATAATAACGATTGTTTGTCGTGCAGTGTCATAGTGCTGCAGTAACTTCAATATCAAATGTATTCAATAGTTTACGTATACGTTGTAAATCGATCGAACAAAAGTCGAAATCGTGTTGGCTTTTCGTGTATAAATTGTAGTGTAAGTTTCAAATATTTTACACACAAAAAAGTGAATATTTGCAGGCAAAACGACTTCAATGTTAGTCAGGTGTATCGTGTAAAAGGTAATTTTTATTCTATATAATAAGGTTATTGTTTTAGTTTCTTCAATAACTGCAGGCAGGTGAGTGTTTGACTTTTTTCACGTTTCATCATACTTGTTAAGGACGTCAATACGTTAACATAATATTAATATAATAGTTTATATCGTTGATTTAAATTTCGTAAATATTATTTTTATTATTATATTTCGATTACTTTTATAGAAAGTAGATATTCAAAGTTTTAAACTAATAGTATTAAAAATCTGAATGAAAAAAAATAACCTCCATGTGTGCAATTTCTACAAAGCTACTGTAGACGAGATTTTTCAAAAATTATTTCAACTCAAGACACGTATTATGTAGTCCGTAGAAGTATCACCGTTTKTATGTAGAATCCGAATTAAAAATTGTAGCTCTAACCTGATACCTTTTTTTCGTTATCGATTTCGTTCCTCCAAACACGTGTGCAGTGCAGTACGGAAGAACCGTCATAACCCCGTAACTATTATATAATGGCTTTGTATACTCGTATTATAAATGTATGTCCTGTTTAATCGTGTAATCTGTACGACTGTCAAGAAACGAATCCCGAAGTGCCATGGTTATAAAATTTATATTTGCAGTCACATATTATACACGTGACGGTCATTAGTTTGATGACAATGATCACTATCGGTATCGAGCATCGGCATTAGCACCGATATGGTCGTGTGATAGGGTATGAATGTTATRATAAGTTAGATAGACAGGTAGGTAAGTGTTCCCTGTCGACCTCACTCAGTCACGTATCGCTCAACCAAATTTATATTTTAAGTAATTAACACATTTAAAAATTATATAGTTAACTCCATCTTAATTAAAATCTTATTGACTATTATAATAAGCTACCACCGCGTAGTCTCCCTCATCCCCGATTCTGAAGTAGTCGAAATTTCAACTGTTCGAGCTTGTCCATGAGCATTTTTCCATGTTATTATTCCTTTGATAGTAATTAGCATACTACACTCATTCTACGCGCTATGTTGTCTTCTATTTAATAATACACACTATTTCTAGTCAGCCCTCGAGATACACTTATGTATATTGTAAAACGATATATGTATGTATTGGTTTTAATAAATTTGTGTGGTATCGTACTATTTTTGTGTACGGTATTGGGTGATATAGTGGTTATGCGTTTTGTGTGGTATTGAGTTATGTTTGTGAGTGGTAGTGGATAGTGCCGAACGATAGCATGGGTACAGGGTACGAATTGTTTTTGTCCATAGCTACTATATACTACCCAATTCCCAACGGACTAGCTGCAAAATCTTAGTAGAACCTCAAGGAAACGAGCCCGTCGGTGGGTTATTGTATAGTTTATTGATTGCTGTGTCCGTCGCATCACTGTTACATAGTAATATATTATTAGAACAATATTATTCCATCACTACTGTCCACTCAATGACTCCTATAGTCACAAACCCTATTTTTTTTCTAGGAACGTTATGATTTTCTTAAGTTTTAAAAGTATTATAATATTATTATGGACATCCATCACTCACTTATCAAACTTAATATTAAATATAATATTCATGAATACCACTAAGACTTTCATAATTCTTATAAATACCTACATACAAATTATTGAATAACACCAGTTTAAGGAAAATTCATTATTTTATTGTTATTTGTCCATGATGTATTTATCCATTACGTAGGTGTCAAATGTTTTTTATATAATATTTTAAATATTCCTAAATTCTGGATATTGGTAGCTTACTTTATAGGGAAAAAATGGATAGTACTTTTGATTTCATAACCTATATAGAGTTTATGAGTTAAAATTTTCGGCTATGTTATAGTAAAAATAACAGTATACTATACTAATAGTAGTAACTATACAATATGCATAATAAATTGTATGTAGGTATACAGTATTTTAATAGGAAAATTAAATTAAAGGGATGGAGTGAACTTATTTAAAATTAAAATTAGATTTCTATGGATTTGTTAAGCTTTTCGTATTACGCACACTCGTTTGGGATTTCGGGCTTCCTGCACTCGGCACACCGCTCCTCGATCGTCGCTTCATTCTATAATTTACACTACTTTATAATAATAATATAAGTAGCAGTAGCAAGATAGCTACTACATTTACTGAGTTAATAAACTACTGAGTATTTAGTGATAATAAATATTGGTTATCATTTATAAATTATAATCGATGGGGAAAATTAATAATTGCATAAAATTAACTTAAGAAATAAATAGGCAACGTCGAAATAAATGTTTTTATGTATATGTATCGCAAGAGTAAAAGTTTTAATACGCACACAATTTATTACATATTTGGTTGGTATATGATACATTTATATCCTTAGATACAGTTGTTTAAAAAGATGCAATTTTATGGATTTGATATATCGTCTCTGCAATGGTCATAATGCTATAATTGTCATCGTCATCGTCGTTGTCGTTGTCGTTGTCGTTGTCGTTGTCGTTGTCGTTGTCGTTGTCGTTGTCGTTGTCGTTGTTGTTATTGTTATAAGAAGACTCGTGTTTGAAATTTAAACTTTCCGCAGCCACACCACCATTGATACGCAAGACAGATTGACTTATAACTGTTTACGTTAGTGTAAAACTGTATACAGAGTGAGATCAACGTGATACATTTGGTAACGTCTTAGGAAATAATATATATTTTTAAATTAGAAATAAAAATGTTGTCAATAAAACTAAGTAATATATAAAATACTGAATAGTGTGTTATTAAATGCTAGTAAAAAACATTAA